TCCATCCATTGTGTCAAGCACATTTGTATATTTGTTGCCATCATCATTCTCAAAACACTTTCTTTCTACTTGAGTGTTATATATTCTCACTTGGTTCTGCTTGAGCCAGAGGCTTGGGTGAAGGACTGTGATACACCCCACCACCCAAATTCCCATACTCCTCATTTTCTTATCTAGAAGTAGGTCTCTTTCCTGAGTGGACTCTAGCCCATGTAGCCTGAGAGAGGTTGAACTCATCACCCCAGCTTACAGGAGTGAGCACTGACAAGGAAAGGTTGATCAAGCATTTTCCATGAAATGAACTTTAGAGACAGTGGGAAATACAGGTTATTTGTCCCTGTGGGACAGTGTGGACTACCCACTACCACTTTGACTATCATATGACAAAGTCAAGTAGCAAGGAACTGAACCAAGATGTGTAGAGAGACTAAGCTTTGACAATATGGTCTGATCTCTTAGATTCAATTCTCTGTAGAACTAGTCCAAACTTCCTAATTGCTTGAGCCAATGGATTATCTTCTTCTTTTTAATCCTGAATTAATTTGAATTGGCTGTCTACATGTAACGAGAAGAGGCAGATCAATTAACACAATTTTTCAGGGTATGTCACTGTAAAATCTAGGAAAGATAGATTTACTTTTACAGAAGCTAACTGATCCCAGAGACTCCCTCCATGGAGCCCTAGGTTTCTCCCACCTACTAGGTGCTAGCCCTGTGGGTGACACAGGTGTGTTACAGAAGACAGGAATCTCCAATGACAGCCACCCCTGACAAAATCATCCTCACCTAGAAAATGCTCTACACCCATTTCTCTTAGCCACAATCATAGGAAACACAGGCTAGCAATTCCAGGCAGGGTTAGGCAAGTGTAAGGTTAGCTGGAGAGGTGTGCCAAGCTTTGTTGAGCTCAGAGAAAGGTAACGTAGGAGAGGGAGAGGCGGAACTGGTTAACAGTGTTCTGGGTGGCTAGCTTAAGTTTGGGGATGTCAGGAGATGAAGTGAGAAGGGAGCTGAGAGTCTGGGGAAGCGGTGTGAATGCCCCATGGGAGCACATGCATTGTCTCACTTACCTTTCCCATTCCAGCGTGGGCATGGCCCAGCTTGATCACCACGGGGAAGTGTGGGGCTGTGAGCTGAAAGAGACAAGAGGAATGCACCCATTAGCATCCAAAGTGATCACCACCAAGGCTCCAGGTTCTGCCTGTTCTACAAGAAGACTCACTTATCTGGCATTGCAGGCAGTTCCCACAAAGGAGCTATGTCACATGGGCAGACACTCAAAATGTCAGCACTTTGGACTCTCAAAGGAAGCTCCAACCTCTTAAAACAGCTTGCCTGGGGCATCCACCAATCTAAACAGACAGTATCATTGTTTTTGGGTGCCATCGAGTGCATTCTGACTCATAGCAACCATATAAGACAGAGAATTTCTCCATAGGGTTTCCCGGAGTGTAATCTTTCCCAGGCTGTACTCTTTGGACATGTTGTCAGGAGAGACCAGTCCCTGGAGAAGGACATCATGCTTGGTAAAGTAGAGGGGCAGCGAAAGAGAGGAAGGCCCTGAAGGAGATGGATTGACACCGTGGCTGAGCAACATTGGGCGCAAGAATAGAAACCATTGTGAGGCTGGTGCGGGGCCAGGCAGTGTTTGGTTCTGTTGTGTATAAAGTCATGATGGGTTGGAATGGACTCAATGGCACTTGTGGGAGTTCGATGGTTTTAAGTCAACTTGAAGATGTATGGGAGTCAATCAGATTACAGACTGATCATGCCTCCTTGAGGACACGGTCTTCTTATAACCAAGGGGAAACTGGGAACCTCCCTCTCTCAATGCCCCTTTGCGTTCTTGCTTGTCGGGTCTCTGACACTGGTGTCTTGCTATGTTTCTGCTGACCTTGGATCCACCAGACTCAGCACCTACCGGCTGAGCCTTTCTGCATTCTTCATCATGAAGTGGCCGTGTGAGTCTGAAGAGAGACTTATGGCCTAGTATTGGAGTTAGGGACTTGAGTTAGACTGGGCTGGGACACCTTCATAAATCATGACTTCTTTATATAAAGCTCTTTCTTATACATAGATGAATGTCACTGGACATGTTGACCTTTCTGAGCACTTAATCACTGCACTAACAGGATCCCTGGAACTGGCAACAAACTAACCCAAACCAACCCAACC